ACAGTCGTACCTTGAGTTACAGACGCTTCAGTTACAGACTCCGCTAACCCAGAAATAGTTCCTCGGGTTCAGAACTTTGCTTCAGGATGAGAACAGAAATAGTGCAGCGGCAGCGGGAGTCCCCATTAGCTAAAGTGGTGCTTCAGGTTAAGAACAGTTTCAGGTTAAGAACGGACCTCCGGAACGAATTAAGTTCTTAACCCGAGGCACCACTGTATGTAAATCGAGCACTGGGACAACTCATTCAGCAAAGATTTGCAGGCACTCTTTCTATTTTTCAGACGTCTGTGGCAGATCCTTTGAATGCAGATAGCCCTTTGCAGCTGCTTTTTTCAATTAGTGATTTTAATTATAACCTTACAATTATAATTATATACCGATTAATGGTGTTTTCTGTTTTATTGTACATATTGTCTTCTTCTTTGGCAGTCACTTGTAGCCGAGCAAAATTGTCTTCCATGAAACACGGTGAATACGTACAATAAAATATCGTTGCACTCTACCGTGTTATGCTGTATGGATTGGTGGTATGTAAATCCTTCTATAAATAAACAAATGTCTGCAAATCGCAAAAATAAGAGTGGGCCCCCAAAGGCTCTCCATTTGTAGAACTATACCCCCCCCCTGCATATCAGCCCCCACAGGGTGATATTCAGCTAAACTCTGCTCAGAGTAAGACCCACTGAAATTAATGAACAAGTTTTTTTACAAAGGTAAAGGTAAAGGGGACCCCTGACCATTAGGTCCAGTTGTGGCCGACTCTGGGGTTGCGGTGCTCATCTCGCTTTATTGGCCGAGGGAGCCGGCGTACAGCTTCCGGGTCATGTGGCCAGCATGACTAAGCTGCTTCTGGCGAACCAGAGCAGTGCATGGAAATGCCATTTACCGGTACCTTCCTGTTGGAGTGGTACCTATTTATCTACTTGCACTTTTGGCGTGCTTTCAAACTGCTAGGTTGGCAGGAGCAGGGACCGAGCAACGGGAGCTCACCCCGTCGCAGGGATTTGAACCGCTGACCTTCTGATCAGCAAGTCCTAGGCTCTGTGGTTTAACCCACAGGTCCATTTATTTCAGTAGGTCTACACAGAATAAACTTCTTCAAATACCAGCCTTAGATTTCAAGCACCCTTCTGCATCAAAATGCACAAGCTTCTAAAAGCACCAGTGTTTGCATGTCACAAAAAGAAAGGGGGTGGTTAGAGGGTCAAGCCAGGGCTATGGAGACCTGGGTTCAAATCTCTATTCGAGCCACAAAGCTCACTGGTGACTTTGGGACAATCTCTCTCTCTCTTTCCTTAGGATGTGTTTATATTCCCATCTACCAAGCACTGCTTGCCTTTCCAGTGTGGGGAACAATCCATGTTCACATACCGTCATCCAAAATGCAGGTGTATCCTGTACTTTGCTATAAAACACTACTGTTTGATGTGTTGCTTCTCAAACCAGCTTCACACTAATTGGGATCCTTAAGCCCTTCCTAATTCACGTCTAGCCAAGGTGTGAGCAACTCTGCGTGGCGTAAAGACATCCCCGCCACTGTCAACACCCCCTGGTGTGTACACAAGCAGGAATGAATCCGACACGAATGAAGCAGGGGTGATGTGAACATTTGCTCCCAATATATAGTCCCAAAATAAGGCAAATAGCTCCCTGCTGCTTGTTCTTTACTGCAGCTCCTCCACACACCAGGGCCAGCTCTATCATTGGGTGGAGCGAAGGGGCTGCCTTGGGTGGCAAAAACTGGGGGACAGGGAGTTGTGTGAAGACGGAGCTGTATGTTCCCTGTGTGGGTTACCGTCTGCTCCCTAACCTAGCTTGCTTCCCTTAGCTGTGGCAGAGAGAATGCTGAGCTTTTTGGCCTCCCTTTGGAAGCAAACAAGGCCCTTGACCATCCCATCGCAGCAGGGTAATAAAGCAAACAACCGCGGATGAGGCCAAGCAAAGCTTTTGACCTCCACCCTAAGCCCACTCTCAAAAGTGGTACCTCGGGTTACAGACGCTTCAGGTTACAGACTCCGCTAACCCAGAAATAGTACCTCGGGTTAAGAACTTTGCTTCAGGATGAGAACAGAAATCGTGCTCCGGCGGTGCAGCGGGAGGCCCCATTAGCTAAAGTGGTGCTTCAGGTTAAGAACGGACCTCTGGAACGAATTAAGTTCTTAACCTGAGGTACCACTGTATTAGCAAGGAAGAGCTGTCCGTTGGCAACTCTTTGCATTTCACAACGGTGTGCATTTGATTCCCACATTGCATGGGGTTGACTAGAAGACTCTAGGACCCTCGTACCTACGGGACCTCCCACAGAGGACCTTATGGTCTTCAAACAAAAACATCTTGCAGGTCCCGGGCCACAGGGAGGTTAGGCTGGCCTCGACCAGAGCCAGGGCTTTTTTGGCTGGGGCTCCGATCTGGTGGAACGCTCTGTCACAAGAGACCAGGGCCCTGTGGGACTTGACATCTTTCCGCAGGGCCTGCAAGATGGTTCCACCAGGCCTTTGGCCAGGGCACAATCTGACCCCCTCCTTTGGTAATCCTCACAGAACTCTAGCCCAATGGTTGCCATTAATTTGATTTGAACTGATTTTACCATGAATTGATTTTAGAATGCTGTATTATTTTACTATTGTTAGCCACTCTGAGCCCGGCTTTGGCTGGGGAGGGCGGGATATAAATATTTTATTATTATTATTATTATTATTATTATTATTAGGGTCTTTTCCATCTCTATGGTTCTCTGTCCGTCTCTTTTCTCCCTCCCTCTCCTCCCCCCACAACTCAAAAGGAACTGACAGAGCATAGCGTTGTTGTCGGGGAAGGATAAATCTGGGGGCACCCAATTAACTTTCCCAAGCCTGTCTCTTTCTCATTCTTTCTTTATGCGTCTTTCTCTCTCCTCCTGATCCCTCTCCCCATCTCCTGCTACAACTTCCAGGGCATCTGAAAGTCATCCGGCTTGAGGAGAGACCAGTGTGTGGCGTCCACGTTCCTCATGTGCTTCTTGGCCAGGAACAGGGCCATCAGCTGCTTCCCTCGGCGGGCGAGGTGCTTCCCCACCCTCCAAGGGAAAGAGGGGCTCCCGTCCTCAAGGCTGTCTTTGTACTTCTGAAGCTCCTTGACACACCACTCATCATTTATCCTGTAGCGCTTGTAAACAGACTCCTCCTGTTTGGGGTTGGCAGCCCTGAGCCAGACCTGGACAGCTTCCAACCCGTCCTGGGACATGATTTCGGGGTAGCGATACTCCAGGAGCTGCACTAGCAGCTCGTTGGCTCGGTTGCACCTGAGGTTGGTGATCTGGTCCTCCAGGCCAAACGGGCAGGTGGTGATGACCTCGTCTTTGGTCCTGCGGATCAGCAAGACGGGTCCCTGGTAGCGGCACAGCTGCTCCCCCACGTTGAGGTTGAAGTGCTCCTTCACCGTCCGAACCACCAGCTTCTTCCAGCTCTTGGGCATGATGTTGAGGGCCAAGGGGAGCAGGTCGTCGAAAGTAGCATCCAGCACCAAGGCTCCCAGAGACGGGTACGTCATGGCAGCCCACGTGGCCGAGTAGCCCCCTAAGGACCACCCGTACACAACAATGTCTTGTATGTTGAAGCCCAGGCGGCAGGTGGCATACCGGATCACGACGTCCACCGCGTTGGCGTCGTTCTCCGGGTAGGGCTGGCCGGTGCTCCCGGCAAAACCGGGGTGGTTCCACCCCAGCACGGAATACCCGGTCCTCAAGGGGGTGAAGAGGCAGCCCCACTGGTAGAAGCTGACGTTCCCCTCGCAGCAAACCACCAGCCGGTTCCCCCGCTGCTCCCCTTGTCCTTTCACCTTGTCCCTCCGGTCCACAAACATGGTGTCAATCTTGTTCCCATCGCGAGCTACCAGCTTGGCCCGCTTCCCGTTGTAATCCCTCAAGAGGCGAGCTTGGCCCTTGGCCAGGACGGGCAACAGTGCTTGGTTCAGGAGGAAGACAGAGCCGGGGTAGATGAGCCAGCGGCCCAAAGAGTGTGCCATGATATAGCTGGCCAACTGGCCGGGCATTTGCTTGAAGTGGCGGAAGAAGTTCCAGCGCGAGACCCGGTCTCTGCCAGGGCCTTTTATCAAGGCCGATGCCAGCGGACATGCTCTCGCTGCTGCTTTGACCAGGATCGGGCAGCCACTGTGCCCTCTGTTGCTGCCACCGTGGCTGGGGGAGCTGCCGTTGACGCCGGCCTCATCCCACCGGAAGTCAACAGGCCAGTTGCTGAACTCAAAGTCGTAGCTGGCCGTAAAATAGGTTTTGAATATGTGGGCCAGAGCCTTTGGAAAACAGAAGACGCACATGGAGAGAGATAATGGTTATCTTCTAGGAGAGGCATAAATTACATAAAAAGAGGTGTGGGCAAGGAAGGTTGCCCCACGGCAGATATTTCTGACGTCTCCAGAGCTTTCCCGTTGACGGATAGATTACTTCATAGGTACATGATGCGGGCTTTGGAACTGATTGGAGCTCACCCCTTTGGCCATGGTGAAGTGGTCATTGGCGCCTGCCCATCAGGGGCCTCAGTATCCCTAGTCCACAGGGAAGTGTCACAATCAGTGAGGTCGCGCCTCCTTTGTGAACATTGCAGCAGAGGCCAGCACTCAGAAGTAGCCAAACCAACCAGTCCTGGTGCCCCCAGATGAACGCTGAAAAGAGGACTGGCTGTGGTCCTTCCACACTTTTACTGCCCACACCTCCCTCGCTTTTAGCAGATGGCTTGGTCAGTGAATCACATCAACTCATTTGCCACATTCTCCCCCAATCTTCAGGTAGTCAGTCCACCCTCCCCAAACCCTCCATGGATATTTCAGCAACCGGAAGTTCATTCCCGCCTTCTTTCGGAGCAAGGAGGGGGAATCAGGCCGTACGGGTGTGGATGTGCTTTATTTTCAAACCCCCCCCCCCAACACTCGTATGATCAAGCTTTAAAACACTGCAGGGATGCTCTGCAACAGGAGATGGGGGTGGGGTTTGTGACATCATAAAACAGCGGCCAATCAGGGCTGTGAACAGCCAGGGTTCTGGTGCAAATTATAAGAACTTGGCTATTGTTGCCTTGGGCTGGAGAAGCCAAGGAAGAAACATGGGGGGTTTACATCCAGACGACAGCAATTAGGTTGTTTGCTTGTTTAATGCACTCTCATTCACTTCTGTAAGGTTACTGTATGCCCACATGGAAACACAATCCCAGCCCCTCATGCCAAAATATCACTTATTTATTTATTTATTTATTTTATAATAATGTATACACTATTTGCTTGTAAAGCCTCAAAAGTGGTTTACAGTGGTACCTCTGGTTACAAACTTAATTCATTCTGGAGGTCCGTTCTTAACCTGAAATCGTTCTTAACCCGAGCTACCACTTTAGCTAATGGGGCCTCCTGCTGCTGCCGCAGCACAATTTCTGTTCTCATCCTGAAGCAAAGTTCTTAACCCGAGGTACTATTTCTGGGTTAGCGGAGTCTGTAACCTGAAGTGTTTGTAACCCAGGGTGTTTATAACCTGAGGTACCGCAGTACAAACAAGACAAAACAATAAAACATCAATAAGAAAAGTTAGCCACTGTGATTTTAAATGTTCAAAGAGTTAAAATAACAATAGACTAAAAACAGATGAATACTCGCATCAACTAAACTTTTGTCGAAATAAGACTGTTTTAAAGATGCTTTGGGATTTAATGATGGTTGTAGAGCATGAGACTCTTAATCTCAGCTTCGAGGGTTCGAGCCCCATGTTGGGCAAAAGATTACTGCACTGCAAGGGGGTTGGGCTAGATCATAGCTGTCAACGTTTCCCTTTTTTTAAGGGAAATTCCCTTATCCCGAATAGGATTCCTCACAAGAAAAGGGAAAAGTTGACATCTATGGGCTAGAAGATCCTTGTGTCCCCTCACAGTTCTATGATTCCAGTCTGGCAAAAACACCTGAGGTTATTGACATCTGTGGCGTGACCTGGGGACATTTCCAGCCACATAGAGAGAACTGGAGGGGCTGGATTTGGCCCCTTTACCTGAGGTTCCCCACTGTAGTTTTCATTGAAGAGAGAGAGAGAGAGAGCGACTGAATGACCAACCTTGCTTTCTGAAAACCTGCATGTTCATATTCATCAGGTGGGCCTCAGGTGAAATCGCAGTTGTCTGCCTTGAGTCCATGAGACAGGGTGAGCTATGAATAATAAATAATTACAATTATAATTTTTTATTTATACCCTGCCCTTCCCGGTTCAGAAAACCGGGCTCAGGGCAGCTAAGAACAAATTTAAAACACTTAATTGATGCAACAAAACACAGCATAAAATAGAGTATAAAACGTGAATAACAATAAAATCAGAATTCAAAAATCAATTTAGGGGGGAAATCCATCCAATAAACTTTAGATGATCACCAGGGCTAGCTGGCTAAATTAGTCCTATTTGGGCCAGTGAGGAGACCAGGGGAGAATTACCAGCTGTGGGATCCCAGAGCGGGTAATCTTCATAAAAAGGGGAGGGGGAGGGAAGGAAGGGGAATAAAACATCAGGCTAAGTTCAAATTGAAAGCCAGGTGGAATAGCTCTTTCTTACAGGCCCCGCGGAAGGAAGTTGAATCCTGCAGGGCCTTGTATGTAATTATAATGATATGAACACATACTGGAGTTTTATAAGGGGTGACTCTCTCTACATGAACTTGGGGCTGTAGCCAAGTAAATTCTACTCAGAGTAGACCCTTTGCAACTGCTTGTCCGGGTGGAGGAAAGAAATGTGTATGTGTGGAAGTGAGCCTATCACAGAAAGGCAAATTTTACATTTGTTGCTCCGCCCACCACTTGGAAGTGGCCCTCAGGAAGCTGTTCATAAGTGGCCCTCACCTCCCTTCAAAGCTGAGTGTGGCCCTCAGGTGCAAATCTTCACCTCTCCCTGCTACCCAGACTAAAGCTGGTCACACATTTGTATCTTGTTTCTCTTCAACACCCTTCTTCTTCCTTCTCCTACCTCCCCTTTGCCAAATCTTAGACTGCAAGCTCCTTGGGGCAGAGACTTCTCTCTCCTTGTCTGTAGCTCTATAAATTGCCATAAACATCACTTATATAAAACTGTAACAAAGCCTGAACTCTATTTTCCCCCCTGTCTCAAGAACCTCTTAGCAAAATAGACGTATGTGCCAAGCTCATTTATCTTTTCCCCTATTATTTTTATCGGAGACATGTCTGATGTTTGAAGGCCAAAATCTTTTTCTTCTGCTGGCCTCTGATTCTGCTGCCAGCCGCCTCTCAGTTGCCCTTGAACACCTGTCCCAGTTGTGACTAAGAGATAAATACTGGAAAGAGGGGGAGCATAGCACTCGATAAGCCCTGAAGAGGGAGGGAAAGCTGTATCGAATAAAACGTTTTCAAAAACGTGTCATTAAATGAATGACACTGTTAGGAAAGGATTGTGTTAAGTGGCCCTCATGAAGCAAACGCCTAGCAGGCAGCAACAAGCACAAACTTTCGCTGTGGAACCCACTACTAGTAACAGTTTAAGGAAAAAATAGAGGATTTCCCACAGACTTCTGGCTGGCCTCTGTGAGAACAGGGTGTTCGACTAGATGGGCTTTTGCCCTGATCCACAAAGCTTATCGTAATGTTGTTAGAAGGATAAGATACCTTATGTGTATCCCAAAGGTAGAAATGCAGAAGAAGGAGGGAGAAGATTAGATTTCCCATTATCAGCCTGACCCTCGTGACATCACAGTTCAGTCCCAGTGATGTCATTGCCGCGGAACACTTAAGTGTGATGACATTATGCATTGCCTTTCTGCGGGTCCTGTAAGCGGAGCAGCACATGAGGAGCTGCAACCATCAGGCATTTTAATGGTCCATCAAGGTTAGGGATGGGGAGAATGTGGCCCTCCAGATATTGCTGGACTACAACTCCCATCATCTCTACTTGCCGCACTGGCTGGAGCTGATGGATATGGGAGTCCAGTGATATCTGGAGGGCCACAGGATATCTGGAGGGCTCAATTGAGGTTCACGTTGCCGGCATTTCCTCGGAGTTCTTGCAGAGGTCTTTTCCAGCCCTGCTACCTGAGCTGATCATCCTGCATGATGCTGGGATCGGTTCTGGGCCCTTCTGTAAACAATGTGCATGTCATCCCATTGGGTTAAGTCTCCTCCCCTAGGGGTGCATGAGGAAGTCGATATCAGTGGGTTTCGTTGGGAACTGGTCTCATCTGCACCTCCTGGACTAATGCATGGATCAAGACATATTATCCAGCTATTTGAGAGCCTGTCCTTGTTAAGTATAATAGTTTAATAGACAATGAAATGAGAATACCTAAATGTATATTGATGAAAAGGCTTAATGTGGGGATTTTTCATGGGGCTATATTAAAGCCAAGGAGAGCACTCTGAGCTCTCCCTGAGTTGATAATTAACTAACTGGTTGTTCTCTGGTAGCGAACATGTGAGTGTTGTAATCTTAGATCATGCGATGAAGGTATTGAGTTGCAAATCTTTTGTCTCAAGGCTCTGGGAAGTAAGGACATGTAAAAGACCCTCTCTGATTGAGAGAGAGAAAACAACTCCAAGCAAAAAATGGAATCATGTCATATTTTGTAAGTTGCTGAGCCTGTGCTGGACATTGTATGGACATTTTGGATGTATCATTTGATGTTTCTGTTTTATTCTGAAGAGTTCTGCTAGTAAAAAATTTGAATAATATATTTATGGATCTGGACAATGATTTCTTCCAAAGGGAGTCAGTTCTTATCCATCCAGTCACTTCAAATATGTGCAACAGTCCCGCCAAGAACTCCTCACCTGAAGCCAGGTGTGATCCTTCCTGGGTCTGGGTCTGCTCCTGCCTCTTGATGCAGCTCTGTGGACTTGGAGACAAAGTCCAGCTTTCCTGCTCCCCTCACGGCTCACTCTGTGCGATAGAGCTTCTCCACCACATCATCTGACAGAGAAATGGCCTTTCTGGCCTTTGAAGACTCAGACTCCTCACTCTGAACCAAGCCAGAGGAGAACCAGACCGTGAAACTTCCAGAGGGAGAATCTCACTGGAGGGTCCAGCTTGAGCAGGACATTTCTGACCCAGGGTCTCTTCCTTCTTCTTGTTGTCCTCATTGGAGACCTTGGGCAGAGCCATGGCATGGCCTCCTTGGAAATCCTACTTCAGGCCAGTTTTGCTTTCCAAAATCCAGTGGATGGAAACCCCTCAGAGATGGCAGGGAGAATATCCTGGCTCTGGAAATCTCTCCACAGAAAGGCTCATCTGGTGCTGAGCCAGATGTCTTTCTAGGACCAGGTGAAATTCTTTTCATTTGCCTGGGGACTTTTATGTTGGTCAATAATCCTGCTGTGTCTTTCCTGTGGTGACTCCCCAATTGTGGAATGCTTTCTCCAGAGACGCTGGCTTGGCGCCAACATTGCATGTCTTTAGGTAAAGGGACCCCTGACCATTAGGTCCAGTCGTGGCCGACTCTGGGGTTGCGGCGCTCATCTCGCTTTATTGGCCGAGAGAGCCGGCGTACAGCATCCGGGTCATGTGGCCAGCATGACTAAGCCACTTCTGGCGAACCAGAGCAGCACACGGAAACGCCATTTACCTTCCCGCCGGAGTGGTACCTATTTATCTACTTGCACTCTGACATGCTTTCGAACTGCTAGGTTGGCAGGAGCAGGGACCGAGTAACAGGAGCTCACCCCGTCGCAGGGATTCGAACCACCGACCTTCTGATCGGCAAGTCCTAGGCTCTGTGGTTTAACCCACAGTGCCACCCGTGTCCCTTGCATGTCTTTAGGCACCAGGAAAAAAACATTCCTCTTTAACCAGGCCTATGGCTATTAAATAATCTCTCCCCCCCCCCGATTTTTATTAAATCTTCCAATTTATTACATAACTCTGTCTTTTTTACATGTTTTCTTCTTGACTTCCTGTCCCTCCTTCCCTGATTGTTATGCCCCCTTAATAGCTGCATTAAAACACATCTACATTTGTTTTCTAACCCCCCCACAAATCCATTTTCTACATTCTTCCGTTGTTCATATCTGCTATTAAATAATCTATGGCCTGTGATCATGTGGCAGGATGGACTGTTATTATGATGATGATGATTTTACTAGTAGGCTGTCTGTCAGTATGCTTCTTACTACGTTTTTACTGTGTTTTCGTCGTTGATGTTTTGCAATGTGTTTCTAGTGTTGTACACCACCCTGAAATCTTTTGACAAATGGTAGTATATAAATTTAATTAATTAATAAGTTAATTATTAATAATACGTATTTGTAAAACATACTTTGCTGTTTTAAGTCATGCTGTTTGCCACATTGGGAAGCTTGGTCAGTTGAAAGCAGGCTAGTTCTAAAAGTGAATAATAAATACATCTCCATGGTGGGTGTGGGAGCAATTGTTACAGTCATACCTCGGGTTGCGAACACTGCGGGTTGTGCATTTTCGGGTTACGGACCGTGCCAAACTCGGAAGCACCAGAACGGGTTACATCTCGTGCTTTGCGCATGCGCAGAAGCGCCGAATCACTTCACATGCGTGCGCAGACTCGGCACTGCGGGTTGCAAACACTGTGGGTTGCGAACGTGCCTCCTGCACGGATCACGTTTGCAACCCGAGGAATGACTGTATTTTTATTCATCTATTTTTACACTTATATCCCATCTTTCCTCCAAAAATCTCAAGCGGGCACACACAGTTCTCCTCCACCCCATTTTATCTTCACAGCAACCCTGTGAGGTAGGCTAAGCTGAAGCACGCAACTGGCCCAAGGTCAGCAAGTGAGTTTCATGGCTGAGTAGGGATTTGAACCCAGGTCTCCCAGGTCTCAGTCCAACACTCTAACCACTACGCCACACTGCTGGCACATACCCAGAGATATGCTCACGCTATGCTGGTGGAACAGCCAAGATACCCAGTGTCAAAGCAACAGACATGCCCACAGAAACCCTGGAAGCCAATGCCCACCAATCAGGGCGTGTGCTGCGAACCACGCCCACACAGAGAATCAGCCAATGAACTTGTGACAATGAGGACACACACCCGTCATTGCATCAGAAAACATGCAACATGTGAGAAGTCACCGGAGCATCAGCACCAGTGGCCCAGCCAGCAATTACCCTGCTACTGTCAGTCTTCGCTCTTTACCCCAATAATAATAATAATAATAATAATTTATTTCTATCCTGCCCTCCCCAGTTCAAGCTGGGCTCAGAGTGGCTAACAACAGTAAAAAATAACATAAAAATCATAATCAATTAATTGGAATACATTCTAAATTCATTCTAAAATCAGTTCAGAGATAATTAATGGCAACCATTGGGCTAGGGTTCTATGAGGATTACAGAAGGAGGGGGGTCAGACTGTCCCTACAGGCTGGGAGTTCGAATCCCCCTATAATAAGAGTTCAAGACCCGCCTGGGAGGGAAAGCCTTTTGCTGAGAAGCCAAGGGGTGGCGCGAGAACACTCAACCAGGGCAACCCCAGGCATGCACAGAGAGCAGCTGCTTCCACTGGCTCGATGCAGAGGAAACAGGCCTAGGATGCAGGAAATCAAGTCCTACCAGGGCGGATGGAGGGGAACATACCCCCACTTCCCTTTTGCATGCGTATCCCCATCATATCAGAGGGAGACAAAGGACTTGACCCTGCCCTGCGAACTCCACAAAGCAGCTCCCTAGGCACTCAGCTACAGCGGTAGACTGGAACCAGCCATGCGGTAGGGACAATTGTCTCTCTCCCTGCTCCAGCTCCAGGCCAGTGGCAGCTGGTGGCCATTGGGATTGGTAAGGGAAAGCAATGACAAACCTAGACAGCAACTTAAAAAGTAGAGACATCACCTTGCCAACAAAGGTCCGTACAGTTAAAGCTATGGTTTTCCCAGTAGTGATGTATGGAAGTGAGAGCTGGACCATAAAGAAGGCTGACCGCCGAAGAATTGATGCTTTTGAATTATGGTGCTGGAGGAGACTCTTGAGAGTCCCATGGACTGCAAGAAGATCAAACGGATCCATTCTTAAGGAAATCAGCCCTGAGTGCTCACTGGAAGGACAGATCGTGAAGCTGAGACTCCAAGACTTTGGCCAGCTCATGAGAAGAGAAGACTCCCTGGAAAAGACCCTGATGTTGGGAAAGATGGAGGGCACAAGGAGAAGGGGACGACAGAGGACGAGATGGTTGGACAGTGTTCTCGAAGCTACCAGCATGAGTTTGACCAAACTGTGGGAGGCAGTGGAAGACAGGAGTGCCTGGAGTGCTCTGGTCCAGGAAGAGTCGGACATGACTAAACGACTAAACAGCAGGCAGGGAGGCTAACAGTAGGTGGTGCCAGAGAGGACGAGCCAACTCATTCTATCTTTGTCCCCATCCATCCTCCTCCCTGCAGCGTCTTGCAAGGGCAGCCCTGAGATTAAGGAGGAACAGGAAGCCGACGGGCAGAGAGCCAACCTTCCTTGTTGTTGCAAGTAAGAAGGCAGGCTGCATTCACCCCAATTGAGACATCTCCACTGGTCCAGTCACCAATCATCGATCCCAGAAACGTGCAGCTCATATTTTACATGCCAGGAGGAGCCCCTGGTTCAAATCCAGGCACAATGGCACACTGGGGAAAGGAGGAGGGGCTCCCACTCTCGGGACACTCTCGGCCAATTAGAAGCAGCGCTGCAGTGACCAATAGCCAATTCCCTCACCCAGGCAGCCCATGTGAGCAATCCACCCTCTCTGTTTTTCCAGATAGGTTGGCTCTACTGGTAGCAGAGGCTCAGGCCATATGTCACACTCTCTACTTACCCTTCCCTCTACTGCTATACCTGCCTACGGAGCTTTAGCTTAGGGTCAAAGCTCCTAAGTGCATGCAGGAGGTCACTTGTTGAGCCTTCATCATCTCCAGGCAGAGCTAGGGGAAAGTCCAGTCTGAAATTCTGGAGAACCACTGCTGGTCTGTGTGGGAAAGGGGTTGAGGAAATCTGTGGGGGCCATCCCGATTTTGTCGGACTCCCATCATCTGTAGCCAGCATAGCCAATGGTCAGAAATGATAGGAGGAGGTGTCCCACTATTAGTTTAAAGGTAAAGGTAAAGGACCCCTGACAGTTGAGTCCAGTCGCGAACGACTCTGGGGTTGCGGCGCTCATCTCACTTTACTGGTGGAGGGAGCAGACGTTTGTCCGCAGACAGTTTTTCCGGGTCGTGTAGCCAGCATGACTAAGCCGCTTCTGGTGAACCAGAGCAGCGCACAGAAACGCTGTTTACCTTCCCGCCGGAGCGGTACCTATTTATCTACTTGCACTTTGACGTGCTTTCGAACTGCTAGGTTGGCAGGAGCAGGGACCAAACAACAGGAGCTCAGCCCGCCGTGGGGATTCGAACCACCGACCTTCCGATCAGCAAGCCCTAGGCTCTGTGGTTTAGACCACAGTGCCACCCGCGGCCAATACCAATATAGGGTTGACCAACAGCCTGATTTGCTGCAAGGTACTCTCCCAATTTATTTTATTTTATTTATTGCATTTACAACCCACCTTTTCCTTCAAGGAGTTCAAGGAGCACATGGTTCTCCCCCTCCCCACAACAACCCCGTGAGGTAGGTTAGGCTGAGAGGCAGTGATTGGCCCATGGTCCCCCAGTGAGCTTCACAGCTGAGTGGGGATTTGAACCCAGATCTCTTAGTCCAACACTCTAACCACTATGCCACATTGATTCTCCATACTTATTCCTAAAGGTAAAGGTAAAGGGACCCCTGACCATTAGGTCCAGTCGTGGCCAACTCTGGGGTTGCGGCGCTCATCTCGCTTTATTGGCCAAGGGAGCCGGCGTACAGCTTCCGGGTCATGTGGCCAGCATGACTAAGCCACTTATGGCGAACCAGAGCAGCGCACAGAAACGCTGTTTACCTTCCCACCGGAGCAGTACCTATTTATCTACTTGCACTTTGACAAGCTTTCGAACTGCTAGGTTGGCAGGAGCAGGGACCGAGCAACGGGAGCTCACCCTGTCGCAGGGATTCAAACAGCCGACCTTCTGATCGGCAAGCCCTAGGCTCTGTGGTTTAACCCAGACCTCAGTGGCACTGCAGGGGCCTGGAGAGTCAACAGCCAGCAGTAAGAAAAAGCAGGAACAACTTCTCCCACCGATATTAGATCCTTTTCAGAAGTGTCATAAAATGGGAATAACAATTTGCACACAGTGGAATGCTTCTGTCACCTTGAGGGACAGGACAGACTCTTCAAGTGTCCGTATTTTCCAGGGACAGTTCCGGATTTACAGAAGAATGTCCCGCTTTTCCATAAAGGTAAAGGTAAAGGGACCCCTGACCATTAGGTCCAGTTGCGGACGACTCTGGGGTTGCGGCGATCATCTCGCTTTATTGGCCGAGGGAGCCGGCGTACAGCTTCCGGGTCATGTGGCCAGCATGACTAAGCCGCTTCTGGCAAACCAGAGCAGTGCACAGAAACGCCTTTTACCTTCCCGCCAGAGCGGTACCTATTTATCTACTTGCACTTTGACGTGCTTTCGAACTGCTAGGTTGGCAGGAGCAGGGACCGAGCAATGGGAGCTCACCCCGTCGCAGGGATTTGAACCGCTGACCTTCTGATCGGCAAGTCCTAGGCTCTGTGGTTTAACCCACAGCGCCACCCGCATCCCTTAAACTTATTCCTACATACTCCCAAATATTACATCTAGAGTAGGAATGATTTGTCCTGGGCCCTGTGGGACCATAATGCATAATGGGTCCCAGCTCTTCGGAATCAAAGAAATAATCAGCAGCAATAGCTATGCTTTCAGGGCATCTCTGCCCAGCTGGGAGTCACAAGAACCAAACTTCAAAAGCTATAGAATCTTAGATTACTTAGATTCCTGCAATGCAGGAATCACAGCTAAGGAATCCTTGATACATGGCCATAAAAGGTAAAGGTAAAGGGACCCCTGACCATTAGGTCCAGTCACAGACGACTCTGGGGTTGTGGCGCTCATCTTGCTTTACTGGCCGAGGGAGCCAGTGTACAACTTCCGGGTCATGTGGCCAGCATGACTAAGCCACTTCTGGCGAACCAGAGCAGCGCATGGAAACGCTGTTTGCCTTCCCGCCAGAGTGGTACCTATTTATCTACTTGCACTTTGAGGTGCTTTCAAACTGCTAGGTTGGCAGGAGCAGGGACCGAACAACGGGAGCTCACCCCGTTTTGGGGATTCGAACCGCCGACCTTCTGATCGGCAAGCCCTAGGCTCTGTGGTTTAACCCACAGCGCCACCTGTGTCCCTAGATGGCCATACAACCCCTGTTTAAAAACCTCAGGTGAAGAAGAGTTGACCACCTTCCGAGGCAGTCCATTTAACAAGCAGCTCTTGCTTGCAGAAAAAAAAACTCTTCCTAATATTTAGCTGGAATCTCCTTTCTTGTCATTTGAATCCAGTGGTTTGGGTCCTACGGAACAGCAGAAGGTAGAATCTGAACCAAAAGACCTCACCACTGCCTGCACAAACAAACCGCAATGATGAATGCTAGTTTTTATTTCTCTCTCTTTCTCTACAGTCAAGCCGCCACCTCCCCAGCCGAGCTAGAGCTTCCAGGGCATCTGAAATTCATTTGGTGGCAAAGTTCTTCCATGGGTGGTCTCCACGTTCTTCAGGTGCTTCTTGGCCAAAAACAAGGCCATCTGCTTCTTCTTCGCGGGGGGAAGGTTCTTCCCGACGTTCCACGGGAAGCTGCAGTTGGAGCCAAGGCTGGCTTTGTAGCTGCGGAGCGTTTGGAGGCACCAGTCCTCATCCACTTTGTAGAAGAAGCTGTAGATGAGGTTGTCCATCTGAGGGCAGTCAGCTGCCAGCCAGCTGCGCACCACTTCCTCCTCCTCGGATATAAGGTCGGGGTAACGGCACCTCAAGAGCTGCAGGAGCAGCTCGTTGGCTCGATTGGTCTTGATGACAGGCAGCTTGCTCTCCGAGTGGAAGTGGGTGCTGGTGATTTCGTCCAACGTCCTCCTGACGAGCAGCACTGGGCCGGGGTACTGGCACAGCATCTCCGCCACGTTGAGGTTGAAGTGCTCCGTCACGGTCTTGACCACCAGCTTCTTCCAGCTCTTTGCCATCACCTTCATGGCCAAAGGGAGCAAGCTGTCAAAGGAGGCGTCTAGTATCAACCCGCCTAGCTCCGGATAAGTCTTCGCAGCCCAGGTGGCTGTGTAGCTCCCTAAGGAGTAGCCGTAGATGGCAATGTCCGGCAGGGCAAAACCCAGCCGACGTATGGCGTATTGGATGACCACATCCATAGCGTTGACGTCATTCGCCGGATAGGGTTTGCCCGTGCTCCTGCCGAAACCGGGGTGGTTCCACCCCAGGACAGAGTACCCGGCCTTCAGTGGGGTGAAAAAGCATCCGACCTCATAGAAACTGCCATTCCCTTCGCAGCAGATCACCAACTGCATCCCCCGTTTCTCTGGACTTTTCCTCTTCCTCCTGTCCACAAACATAGTGTCGATTTCGTTCCCATCGCGGGCAATCAGTTTGGCCCGTTTCCCATGGAAATCCTCAATGAGGCGAGTTCGGGCGTTCACCAGTATATTGGGCGGGACTTTGTTCAAGAGGCAAACGGAACCCGGGTAGAGCAGCCAGCGGCCAATGGAGTGAGCAATGGCATACCTGGCAAACTTGCTGGAGCAATGCTTGAAGGAGTGGAAGACGCTGGATCTGGAGCTCTCCGCCACAGCGCCCTCCTGGGGGACTGTAAGCATCCCTTGTGGGTTCTGGTTGTTGATGGTGATGCTGCTGCTGCTGTGTCCATTGGCGACGGTGCTGGTCCCGGCCTCATCCCAGCGATATTCCACTGGGCACTTCTTGAACACACAGCTGTCTTTGATCATCAAGTAGGTTTTCATTTTGTAACACATGTTGGAGCTCTTTAGGGGGGGAACGTTCACGGGATCAAACGACGGCGCCTTTCAGCAAGCTGGGTCAAGTTAAAGGAAGGGGAACATGAAGAAGAGAAGGCCAAAGAGATATTTATGGAGGCACGCTGGAAGTTAGCAACTTTTGATTCGGGTTCAACCCAGAAGTGGATGTGGAGCAGCACTAGAATGTCTTGAGATGGCTGCTGCCCACCTGCCCTTGGCTGGTGTTGGGAGGGTCATATCCTGCAAAGGGCAACCAGGCACTTCCTCCAAGAGCCCCTACAGGCCAGTCACTCAAAGCAAAGGTAATAATAAGCCATGTCAGCCCCCTTTGTGAGCAATTACTCCTCTGAGGGCTTGGCTGGGAAGCCCATCAGCTGCCAGGGGGGTCTGGAGGTGGACATTGCAAATTCTTCTCTGGGGCGGTGGAGCAAGAGCACAGAGTCTGTCCACAGAGTCTGTCCCATCAATCCCAGCCTTGTCCATCCGTCCCACGGAACCAAAGGCTTTCTTGTGGGCCAGAGCGCCCCTATATCTCAGGAACCGGGAAGTGGGCCTCATCGAAGGTTAGATACCTTCTTCCATCAGTAACATTATTAACGCTTGTTTAATTCGTTACCCATCCTTCACTCTAAGGTACCAGGTCAGGCAACAAGGTAAGAAGGTAAGAAGAGCCTGCTGGATCAGGCCAATGGCCCACTTGTTCTCACAGTGGCCAGACGGATTCCTGTGGGAAAGCAGCAAGCAGGATTCGAACACAGGAGCCTGTGGTTTCCAGCAACTGGTACTCAGTTTGCATTGGGGGGAAAGTTCCTGGTGGAAATTCCAGCTTGAGAGGAACCATTGTCATCTAGGCATCTGCGGGGGTTTAAATTCCTCCTAAAGGTTTAAATTCCCCCTCCGTGCTTGCTGTGAACTATCAGCCCAAGTGATGCAAAAAGCATTTTTTAAAAGCTGCACATTAGATGCGTTTTATGCCGCGTGCAGTTTGGAGCTCAAGTTGAAAGGGAAGTGTGACCAGCCAGTGGGAGAAGCCGTCTCTCTTTTTGCTCGCCAAACTCCCCCCACCCACAGCACTGACCACAGAGACATCGCTTTCCTCTTCACCATAAGCGCAGCTCTCAGAATGATGTGTAATCTCAACCCACAGTCTTGAAAAACCCTACAGTATCCCCCATGCACCAGGAGGCAGACGGCGTTGCGGGGACCAGACGGCATTTCCTCAATTCCTCTTTCCTAGGAAGAGGGAAGAGGGGGCAGGATGGTTGCAAAAGCCCCCGCTGGAGACAGATGAATGTTGGAGAGCTGGAGGCGGCGACGGCGGAGGGGTTCCTGCCTGTGACACTCTTTGAGGAAGGAGGAAAGAGCAGCGATGATGCTCTTTTCAATCCCCAGAGAGCTAGGGGGGGTGTTGAAAGAAAGGGGGAGCCTGGTTTTGGTACAAATCTGTCATCCCGTTTTCATCACTGGGAGAACAAGTCTCTGAGTGCAGTTTGAACAAAAGTGAAAATAGGACGCACACACACACACAGCACAGGAAACAAACTCTGTCTCTAATCAGCTTCTCAGTTACTTCTGTGTTAATAACTTTACATATACTGTACACAGACATGTACGTACTTTAATCTGCAGTTCTATATTGCAATGTATGGTTTTATTCATTCTGCATGTTTTATAAACTTGCTTTTCACGTTGATTTTTTAAAAATCGACACCTCTTTTATATTCTTCATAAACGGTTTTCTTTACAGTGAAGCAGTACGCAAATATTATTAAATAAACAACTGTGGGCACTTGGCATCAAACACCGGCATATTGGAACCAGAGTGAATGGTTTCCTTCAAGGAACTCAAAGGGACACACATCATTCTCCTCCTCCCCATTTTATCCTTGCAACAACCCTGTGAGGTAGGTTAGGTGGAGAGTAAATGACTGGGCCTTGGTCACCCAGTGAGCTTCAGTGGGGATTTGAACCCGTGTCTCCCAGGTCCCAGTCTGACACTCTAACCCATGGGTAGGCAAACTAGGGCCCAGGGGCCAGATCCGGCCCAATTGCCTTCTAAATCCAACCTGCGGATGGTCCGGGAATCAGCGTGTTCTTACATGAGTAGAATGTGTCCTTTTATTTAAAATGCATCTCTGGGTTATTTGCAGGGCATAGGAATTCGTTCATATTTTTTCCCCAAAAATATAGTCTGGCCCCCCACAAGGTTTGAGGGACATTGGACCGGCTCCCTGCTTAAAAGGTTTGCTGAGCCCTGCTGTAACCACTATGCAACACAGCCTCATCAGCTGCCATTCCACCTGGCTGCACAAGAAGGACAGTAGCAGCCTTAGCTCCTGGACATCCTTATCTTCCTCCTCCCTCTCTGGCCCTTTCCCCAGTTCTATTATATGAGTAAGCCATTAACGTATTTTAAAAAACAGTAAACTGCATTGAATTGGTAAATTGGTAGAAAAGTGACCTATAAATGTAATTAATACTTTTTTAAAAAAGAGAGAGAACGTGCAGCTCTTGCCTTCAACGGGGGGGGGGGGGGGACAGGGAAGGAGGGGAAAATCCTGCATATACTGAAAAGCATCTACCAACTGCCCCAATTTCCAGAATTTTTACATACAAAATATTCTGGCAACTGGCCTGGGGGTCAAAAACAGGCCAGACTGGTGCTGTTGCCATTTCCGCATAGTTGCAGGTTGGTGTTAGAGAGGGGGGCCCCATGTCTTTAAGAGATCGAAGGCTGCTTGCATCACATACCCCCCCCCCCAAGGTCCCTATTCTCCAGGGACAGTCCTGGAATTACGAAAGCCATCCCAGCTTTTGATTTCATCTTGAAAGGTCCCTATTTCCCCCCCGCCAGTGCTGCCAGCGGGGAGCTCAGGGAAGAGGATGAGCTGGGTGTCAGGAAAAGGCAACAACTTATTTTCTTGTTGTGTGTGGGTTGTTGTTGTTGTTTAACTCCCAGAGAAGCAGAGCGGTGCTTGTGGGATATTCTGCCTCAGGCGTCTAAATAACATGACCAATGTTGGTCGTGCCTGGGCTGCTTTCAGATCAGATAACCTGTTCATTAAGCTTTCTTGCCGATCTGTTTGCACAGAGTTTCTTAAAGTTCAGGTGACATTGGCTTGTCATTTATTTCTTTATGCCTTTATTTATTTCTTATCAAGAAAAGTCTGCGGGGGTTTTTTCCGAGGGGGGAGGAAGTGTTTTTTGGGAGGGGTGTTTCTAAGACTGAGGTGAAACTGTGACACTCCCTTGTTATTTTTGCTCTTCTTAGATGCTACATGTTGTTTAAGTAATCTTGCAATGTTTTTAGTACCAAAATGTGGGGTTTTTTGTTTGCTATTGTTTTGCTGTTGTTATAAAACTGCTTTAGAAGTGTTCGTTTGAAATGTATTCCTGTTTTCTTTTCTTTTTTTGTAAGCCGTTTTGAGCCTCTCTTTTTTTTTTGCGTGAAAAAGCTGCATATAAGATAAAATGAATGGATGAATGTTCCGCAGGAGATCAGTTCTAATTGCACAGCCTGGATTACCCAGTATGCAACTGAATTCCACCCCAAAACTTATTTCTCTATTACATCCATATCCCACCTTCCTTTCAAGAAACTCAAGGTGGTGCGCAATAGTTCTCTCACAGTTCTAAAGTGGTATGTTATTGTTTTAAATGAAGAGTGTGGATGGGACCATAACTTTTAAAAGTGTAACTTTAAGAATTTGTGCTTTCTTTTTCCTACCCACCACCCTGATCCTTTTCACTTGCATATTGAATCTTTTTATATCATAAGCCTGGAGGCAGAGATCACCTAAGAATTGGTTTTTGTGAAGGCATTCTGAAAGCCACCCCCCCACCCCTTTTTGTTTTTTTGCTAAAGACATGGCCACTGGTCCCATCACCTCTGGCAAATAGAAGGAGAAGAAATGGAAGCAGTGAGAGATTTTACTTTCTTGGGCTCCATGATCACTGCAGATGGGGACAGCAGTCACGAAATTAAAAGACACCTGCTTCTTGGGAGAAAATCAACGACAAACCTAGACAGCATCTTAAAAAGCAGAGACATCACCTTGCCGACAAAGATCCGTACAGTTAAAGCTATGGTTTTCGCAGTAGTGATGTATGGAAGTGAGAGCTGGACCATAAAGAAGGCTGATCGCCGAAGAATGGATGCTTTTGAATTCTGGTGCTGGAGGAGACTCTTGAGAGTCACATGGACTGCAAGAAGATCAAACCTCTCCATTCTGAAGGAAATCAGCCCTGAGTGCTCACTGGAAGGACAGATCCTGAAGCTGAGGCTCCAAGACTTTGGCCACCTCATGAGAAGAGAAGACTCCCTGGAAAAGACCCTGATGTTGGGAAAGATTGAGGGCACAAGGAGAAGTGGATGACAGAGGACGAGATGGTTGGACAGTGTTCTCGAAGCTACCAGCATGAGTTTGACCAAACTGCAGGAGGCAGTGGAAGACAGGAGTGTCTGGCGTGCTCTGGTCCATGGGGTCACGAAGAGTCGGACACGACTAAACGAGTAAACAACAAGGTTTTTAATGATGCAAGCAAATGAGTAAATAAATAATGGTGTCTATTCCAGACATAATATTTGCTTCATGAATGATGCAAACAGGAGTCCCCAACAAAGGAGTGTTATTTAATACTGAGGAGTTGCTCAGTCGGTACAGCGTAAGACTCCTAATCTGAGGGTCATCGGTTTGAGCCCCACTTAGGGGGGGGGGAAATTCCTGCATTGCAGGGGGCTGGACTAGATGACCCTCGTGGTCCTTTCTAGCTCTAGAATTCTGTGATTCTGTGAACTCTTACAACAGGTGTAAGCGAATCTGTGGCTTTCCAGGTATGTGGTCTAAACCACTGAGTCTCTCGGGCTTGCTGATCAGAAGGTTGGTGGTTTAAATCCCCACAACGGGGTGAGCTGCCATTGCTCTGTCCCAGCTCCTGCCAAACTAGCAGTTCAAAAGCATGTCAGTACAAGCAGATAAAGAGGTACCACTGCAGTGGGAAGGTAAATGGTGTTTCCATGCGCTCTGGTTTCCATTGTGTGCCAGAAGAGGTTTAGTCATGCTGGCCACATGACCCAGAAAGCTATCTGTGGACAAACACCGGCTCCCTCGGCCTGAAAGCGAGATGAGTGCCACAACCCCAAAGTCGCCTTTGACTGGACTTAACTGTCCAGGGGTCCAAAGCCAGCGTGGTGTAGTGGTTAAGAGCGGTGGACTCGTAATCTGGGGAACCGGGTTCGCATCTCCGCTCCTCCACATGCAGCTGCTGGGTGACCTTGGGCTAGTCACACTTCTCTGAAGTCTCTCAGCCCCACTCACCTCACAGAGTGTTTGTTGTAGGGAAGGGAAAAGAGATTGTTAGCCGCTTTGAGACTCCTTCGGGTAGTGATAAAGCTGGATATCAAATCCAAACTCTTCTTCTTCTACCTTTTTTTTAACCTTTATAGGTCCTATCACCTTGGTGGTGCTGGCTGGGGGATGGGGGAAAATGGGAGTCTAGCAAAATTGATTGGTTGTCTGACTGACTGTGTTTATATCTCACCTTTTTCTCCAATGAGCAGAAGGTGGCACGCATTGTTCTCCCCCTCCTCATTTAATCCCCACAACAACCTTGTGAGGTAGGTTAGGTTAGGCTGAGAGGCAGCGACTGGCCCAAGGTCACCCAGTGAGCTTCGTGGCTAAGTGGGGATATGAACGCAGGTCTTTCAGGTCCCATTCCAACACTCAAACCATTACACCACCATAGCAACAGTTCGCAAAGGCGTCCTGGCTGCTGACCAGGTCAGGCAGCGAAGAATTTCCTGCTGCTCTAACTCCGGCCGTAAAACATCCCTGTTTTGGAATCAGCAAAAATTCCCCTGGAGCTGAACAAAGTCCTTGGGCTGATCTCCTCTGCAAGGATGGATGGGAGGGAGCAAGCGGGGGGGGGGTGCGGAGAGGAACAGGCTGTAGAAAATGGGATCAAGGGCTACACTGGCAAGTGAAAGGTCACATTCATCACCGAGAGGGGAGGAAGAGGGCAGCTGAGGTAGCAGAAGAGGGTCCAGGGTGACTCTCTGGAGAAAGGAGGGGAGGTCAGGATGTCCCGAAGAAAAAGAAAACCTCTCCCTTGAAATATGGCTGGATTGTGAGGAGTGGCAAGGAGGGACAGGGTCGTTTTATTTGAGAGGGGTTTTGGGGGGGGGTGGCTGCAGGGTATGCTGGGATTCGAGATGCGCACAGAAATTTGAAATCCCAGCAGCTCATCCTGGTCTATCCGCAGCAATCTTGCCTCAATTTCCCTTTGCGACAGAAAGCACATGAGCGCTGGGAACACACCGGAGTAAGCAGTAACACGTACACAGCCTGTATATGTTCTGCAACAGATGCTATGGCTGCTGTCTGGGGTGTGTCTTCTTTTTTTATTGTTTTTATTTGATTTTACAAATATAAATTTATAACGAAACCAGGTACATATCCATATACAGTAGAGAGATTTCTCTGAATCTCGAGACTTCCCCTCCATGGTTCCTAATGTCAACTTTTCAACTGCATATTATGTCACAGTCTATATTTTATATCTGTCCATATTATCCATAGTAATTGCAACATGACAAGTGAGATTAAAATGCTGTTAATGTTTTCATCTGTTTACAGTAGTTTCCTAGGTAAATTATAAATTCTCCCCATTCTTTCTTGAAATTTTTGTCGTCTTGGTCCCTGAGCTTTCTGGTCAGTTTTGTCATTTCGGCATATTCTAACTGCCTGATTTGCCATTTCTCTCTGGTAGGGACTTGTCTTCTTTCCATCTCTGGGCTAATAGCATCCGTGCTGCTCTTGTCACATACATGAAAAGTCTTTTCTGTTCCTTTGGGATGTCAGTACCTACAATTCCTAATAAAAAGGCTTCTGGGTTTTTTTACAAAAAATATTTTAAACATTTTTTCCAATTCATTATATATCACTTCCCAGAAAGCCTTTACAGTGGTACCTCGGGTTAAGTACTTAATTCGTTCCGGAGGTCCGTTCTTAACCTGAAACTGTTCTTAACCTGAAGCACCACTTTAGCTGATGGGGCCTCCCACTGCCGCCACGCTGCCGGAGCCCGCTTTCTGTTCTCATCCTGAAGCAAAGTTCTTAACCCGAGGTAATATTTCTGTGTTAGCGGAGTCTGTAACCTGAAGCATCTGTAACCTGAAGTGTCTGTAAACCTGAGGTACTACTGTATAACTTTACATGACCACCATATATGTTTAAAAGGGTGTGATAAAGCGGGATATCAAATCCAAACTCTTCTTCTTCTTCTTTACAGTGGAGGAAAACACACTGGTTCTAGAATAATAATAATAATAATAATAATAATAATAAAGCATCAAACATTAAAAGCTTCCCTGAACAGGGCTGCGTTCAGATGTCTTCAAGAAGTCAGGTAGTTGTTGTTCTCTTTGACATCTGGTGGGAGGGCGTTCCACAGGGCGGGTGCCACTACTGAGAAGGCCCTCTGCCTGGTTCCCTGTACAGCAAAAATGAAATTCCTTGATGAAAGTATCACATCCCCTTCCCTCCAACTCTACAGTTCTGTGTTTCTATGATCCACTTGCCTCTCTTTTGCAAAGTCCTTGAGGTAGAGGTCCGCCTTTCCGCCACCTTACTTTGTTCCTCTGCAAAGTAAACTGAAGGACATTAATACCCACCACGGATGAGTCAGGGCAGGCCAGCAGGCTAGGTCTTAACCCCAGTTGGCTTCCTTCACCCGGATCCGCCTGAGGCCATCTGCTTGCTTGGGGAAGGGGGGAAAAAATCTCCCACCCTGAAGGCTAATCTTCTTTAATCTCTGTCAATTGGATCTGTGCCTTTGTTCCACCAGTCAGCGGGAGACCAGCACGTTGGCTCAGTGAGAGAGAGGCAGGCAGCCCTGTGGTTTCTGGGCAGAACACGTGTCTGCCATCCGTGGGGCAACCCCTTGGCATAATAACACTGTGCTACATCCACAAATGTTTCTGTTTTCATTTTTGGCAGGGTGGCAGCTATATAACACCGACTCAAACTACCTAAATCATCCAGAACAGGGTAAGACCAAGCACAGTGCTTTCAAAGCATCCAGTCAGGTTGGCATTTGTTGTTGTTTAGTCGTTTAGTCGTGTCCGACTCTTCGTGACCCCCTGGACCAGAGCACGCCAGGCACTCCTGTCTTCCACTGCCTCCTGCAGTTTGGTCAGACTCATGTTTGTAGCTTCGAGAACACTGTCCCACCATCTCGTCCTCTGTCGTCCCCTTCTCCTTTTGCCCTCAATCTTTCCTAACATCAGGGTCTTTTCCAGAGAGTCTTCTCTTCTCATGAAGTGGCCAAAGTATTGGAGCCTCAGCTTCAGGATCTGTCCTTCCAGTGAGCACTCAGGGCTAATTTCCTTAAGAATGGAGAGGTTGGATCTTCTTGCATTCCATGGGACTCTCAAGAGTCCCCTCCAGCACCATAATTCAAAAGCATCAATTCTTTGGCGTCAGGTTGGCATAGCATCCCCCAATCTGGTGTCCAGGGCAGCTGTCTACCAGCTCCAGCTGGTACACAGGATGAGACCCTCCCTGCCTGCAGACTGTCTCGCCAGAGTGGTGCATGCTCTGGTTATTTCCCACTTGGACTACTGCAATGTGCTCTACATGGGGCTACCTTTGAAGGTGACCCGGAAACTACAACTAATCCAGAATGCAGCCGCTAGACTGGTGACTGGGAGTGGCCGCCGAGACCGCATAACACCGGTCCTGAAAGACCTACATTGGCTCCCAGTATGTTTCCAAGCACAATTCAAAGTTGGTGCTGACCTTTAAAGCCCTAAACGGCCTCGGTCCAGTATACCTGAAGGAGTGTCTCCACCCCCATCGTTCAGCCCGGACACTGACGTCCAGCGCCGTGGGCCTTCTGACGGTTCCCTCACTGTGAGAAGTGAGGTTACAGGGAACCAGGCAGAGGGGCTTCTCAGTAGTGGCGCCCGCCCTGTGGAATGCCCTCCCAACAGATGTCAAGGAAATAAACAATTATCCGACTTTTAGAAGTCAACTGAAGGCAGCCCTGTTTAGGGAAGTTTTTAATGTTTGATGTGTTATTGTGTTTTTAATATTCTGTTGGGAGCTGCCCAGAGTGGCTGGGGAACCCCAGCCAGATGGGCGGGGTATAAATATATTATTATTATTATTATTATTATTATTATTATTATTCCCTCCAGATGGTTTGGACAATGGCACCCATCAGCCTCAGCTAGGATGGACGTGGTGTCTAGAGCATGGGTAGGCAAACTAAGGCCTGTGGGCTGGATCTGGCCCAATCGCCTTCTAAATCCGGCCCGTGGAAGGTCTGGGAATCAGCGTGTTTTCACATGAGGAGAATGTGTCCTTTTATTTAAAATGCATCTCTGGATTATTTGTGAGGCCTGCCTGGTGTTTTTACATGTGTAGAATGTGTGCTTTTATTTAAAATGCATCTCTGGGTTATTTGCGTGGCATATGAATTCGTTCATTTTTATTTTTCCCCCCAAAATATAGTCCAGCCCCCCACAAGGTCTGAGGAACAGTGGACCGGCCCCCTGCTGAAAACGTTTGCTGACCCCTGGTCTAGAATCTCCACCCCCTGGTCTGCCAGGGGCTGCTCTCTGCATTTCAGAGTGCCAGGCTCCTCAGAAGGCATGCCTAGGAGATCCTTTTATTGTGGCATTTCAGCACCAGACCCGTTACAGGAGCGTTTTTGTGCTGATAAGAGTCCACTAAGTTGCTTTAAAAACCCACCAAGTTCAGTCAATAGGACTGAGGCCTCATCCTCTCTCTTTTGGCTGACCAACTGCCCTTTGCTCAAGCAAAGAGAGAGGGGGATGAGGGTCTTTTTTGAAGGACTCTCTTTCCTTGTAGGTTTTTAAGCTGAGGTCAGATGGCCATCTGCCATGGATGCTTCTGTTGAGATTCCTGCATTGCCGGGGGTTGGGCTGGAGGACCTTCAGGGTCCCTTCCAACATTACGAATCTATGATCCTACGAGTGGCAATTGTCGCACCAGCTTGCCCAACAACTTGCTGGTGTTTATATGACCACTAGGCCTGTTTCCCCCGCATGCCTTGCTGTTGACCCTTTGCTCTTCCCGCCTGCCCTCCCCTCCATGCAGATTGGCTGGCAGATGTCCCTCAGGGCTGCTGCAGCCATGGCACAACCTCCTAATCGTGCCTTCCTAGGAGGAACGCAGATCGGGTCTTGCAAGGTTTCGAAGGGGATTTGACACCGTCCAAAATGGATTCATGCTGTCAGGCGGATTTGCAATTAACCCAACCATCCTCTCTCCCCCCCACTCACCCCAAATGCCCGCTTTGTTTCTCGCCAAAGGCGGGCAGAGACAAAGGCATGTAGATTGCGTTTCCCCAATACAGCCTGCCATTCTGGGGGGGCTCCCTGCACCCGCAATAATCTGACCTGGATGAGAGAGACACTTGCATTGGGCTGTGTTAATTGTGACCTTTTCTTGCCAAGACCATCTCTCCGCCGACAGCTGAGCCTCCGATTCCAAACAGCCAGGGCTTATTAACATGACTTCTAATCCCCTAACGACCCCCTGATTGTTCAGACATATGGACGGCTCCTTCCCCCTTGCCAGATGAACCCCCTACTTCCATCCCACCCACCCCAGGAAAGCCTTTGCCTCTGACAAGGCTGACTTTGAAGTGAAGTGTCTGTCTGCACAGCATCCCAGTTCAGTGGGAGTCCATCATAAATATCAGATTACCAGCCCACCCACCCCCACCGCATCCTCTGCCCCATTTCCCCTCTTCTCCCCCCCGTCTCATCTGTTTCCAACAGTGGGTTCGCAAAGCTGCTTGCCAGCTGCATGCCCACTTTCCCAGGGCACAGAAAGGGAAGGGTGCACTCTCTGCAAAAAAGATGCCGTCAAAGAGCTTGCGATCAGGCGTCCCTCTCCAGTCCTCCTGGAGCAATTCTAGGTTGCAGAAATACATGGGAATGGAAGGCAATGGAAGAGGGAGAGAGAGAAAGACAAAGGATAAAAGAAAAGGGATGGGAAGAATGAAACGAAATAGGATTCCCAGGAGTAATAATAATAAATTTTATTTATACTCCGCCCTCCCCGGCCAGAGCCGGGCTCAGGGCAGCTAACACCAATAAAATCACAGTAAAAACATAATAGGGGGAAGAGAGAGAGAGAGAGAGAGAGAGAGAGAGAGAGAGAGAGAGAGAGAGAAACCAATTTAAAATACAGGTTAAAATGCAATTTAAAATGCAGCCTCATTTTAAAGCAGCCGATAAATCAAGACCATAAGGAGAGGGAAACATAAGGGTCAGACTGAGTCCAAACCAAAGGCCAGGCAGAACAGCTCTGTCTTGCAGGCCCTGCGGAAAGATGTCAAGTCCTGCAGGGCCCTGGTCTCTTGTGACAGAGCGTTCCACCAAGTCGGGGCCAGTGCTGAAAAGGCCCTGGCCCTAGGTGAGACCAATCTAACCACCTTGCGACTTGGGACCTCCAAAATGTTGTCATTTGTGGACCTTAAGGTCCTCCGTGGGGCATAGCAGGAGAGGCGGTCCCGTAGGTACGTGGGTCCTAGGCCGCATAGGGCTTTAAAGGTCAAAACCAGCACCTTAAACCTGGCCCTGTACTCCACCGGGAGCCAGTGCAGCTGGTAAAGCACTGAATGAATGTGATCCCATGGCAAGGACCCCGTGAGGAGCCTTGCCACAGCATTCTGCACCCGCTGGAGTTTCTGGGTCAGCTTCAAGGGCAGCCCTATGTAGAGCAGCGCAAACATACACCCCTCAAGCCAGTGTGCATTCTGCCTCCAGTGTGGTGTAGTGGTTAGGGTGTTGGACAAGAGCCCAGGAGGACAGGGTTCAAATCCCCGCTTATGCGATGAGGCTCACTTGGTGACCACAAGCCAGTGCCTACCTCACAGGGTTGTTGCGATGATGAAACGGGAGGGGGGAAGGAGGAATGCCACCTGGAGCTCTTTAGAGGAAAGGTGGGGCAGAAACTTTATACGGCGAGTAGCAGTTGACATGACAGAGGCTTATAAAATCATCCAAGGAAAGGAGAACGGGGGGGGGGGGGGGAATCACGATACTGGGATTCATAGACATCCAGTGAAGCTGAACGTTGGACGGTTTGGGACAGTGAACTTTGCACCGTGAATTTCACTGCCCTCTAAAGCGGTCATGGGAATACCGTATTTTTCGCTCCATAAGACGCCCTTTTTTCCTCCTAAAAAGTAAGGGGAAATGTCTGTGCGTCTTATGGAGCAAATGCGTGGTTCCTGGAGCTGAATTGCCTAGGGGCAAAAAGCAGATCGTGCTTTTTTTTTTTTTTAAGAACAAGGGAAGTGGGTGTTGAAACAAAGCTGCTGAGCAGCTGATCGTCAAGCGGTTGGGAGGGAGATAAGGGACTCTAGCGATAAAGGAGGCTGCCTGGGAGGGAGGAGGTAAAAGCACATGGATCCTCAGAATTTTTGCACTGGATCACCCGAAATTCACCATCAGATCACATAGTATGTCCATGGCTATAGCCTGCACCAAAAAATCACGCATCCACTGTTTCGTGGGGCCGCAATGGCGCAAAAACTTGGTTACAAAGCACGGATCCACATGGATCATGCTTTGACTATCTCCCTGGCCTTGACCTGTTCCTCTCCTGCCTTTGGCCTTGAAACAGATCCTGTCTGAGATCAGACCCTGCAGCATTTATTTGCCTACTTCTGATGGACTGAAACAAAGCTCAAAGAAAAGAAAGAAATATTATGGGAGTATGTGTGTGTGTGTGTGAGAGAGAGAGAGAGAGAGAGGGAGAGAGAGAGAGAGAGAGAGAGAGAGAGAGAGAGAGAGAGAGAGAGAACAGAATTTGCGAGATGGTGACTTGATGGAAAGGATACAGGCGAGGGGGGGGGTGGGCGGGTGCAGCTTGACCACTTGAGGAAACTCAGTGGATCTTCCTGGAGGCGAGGGGTGTATGTCGCCAAGGCAGATGCTGTACATCTGGCAGCTGGGAATGCTGTCTTGGGAACCCCAGAAGACAGTCTATAACTGGCAAAGATCAGCATTCACAACTAGCTCTCTGTTTCCTGCACAGCCTTTTGCTTACCAGATGTGTCCTCGCCTCATCTATTTTCCTCTGCTTGCTGCCCACCCCTCCACACACACAATGCAGTCCAACAACAAATGATTCTCCCAGGATGAGCACAGCTCAGAAATGGCCTGTAAGATTTATTCCAAAGACAGCAAAAGTGAAGTGTGTTTTGGGACACAGATGGACCTTCATCGGGAGGATTGTAGTACATTCTTCTTCTTCTTTGCCGATCCCTCGTAGCCGAATAAGATTGTCGTCCATAAACACACTTTTAACAACGAGTCCGTAAGTGACTGTGGTGGCCAATTCTGGACCCACGCATCCTTCCATATTGGGGACATTGGTTCCCGGGCGGGAGTTGATCACGGTGTGGGTTTGCCAAGCGTGCCTTCCTCTTAGCACCTTTCTCCCTTCCGTCCTGAGTTCAAGCATCTTCAAAACCCATGACACCTTTGGTAAAGGCTGCTGTCCAACTTGAGTGCTCGCAGGCCAGTGTTTCCCAGTTGTCAGTGTTTATACTACGTTTTTTTAGATTTGCCTTGAGACAGTCTTTAAACCTCTTTTGTTGACCACCAGCATTACGCTTTCCATTTTTAAGTTCAACATAGATACTGCTTCATAACCAGGCAGACCTTTGGTCCGATATAAAGCGGTATTGAAATGAATAATAATAATAATCTAGCTTAGTATTGTCTACACGGCCTAGCAGCACCTCTCCAGAATTTCAGGCAGAAATGCTGGAGGTGCTGGGGCTTAAACCAGCTTTTCACCTTGCCTTGAGGTCTGTTCTGTGGTCTGAATGTTGGGATGGTGCAAACTCTGAACGTACAAGGGAGGTGGGATCTAGACACATATAAAAAAAGTTGCGAAAATGCTTTTTAAAAAAAAGTTTTGAAAAAGATATGGAATTGGCCATAGCTCGCCATCGCCATCCAGTGTCGCATTTGTGTAATGCACTTTACAACACACCGGAAAGGTTTTATATGTAGCTGTATAGCTGAGCCCAGAGTCAAAACCAGCACCTCCCCTTAAAAAATAAATAAATCTTGTTTATTCAGTATTTGTATTTTCTTCACCTCCTCAACCAAACATGAAAAAGGGCAAGAATTCATTCCAGACAGCCCAGATGGTTGTCTGTTTGAGGACTCTGACTAATGCCAACTCCAGATGGCCTTTAAAGCACACTCCTTCTCATTGCTCCCCTTTTAGAACAAACCCCCAGGGGCCATCCCATATCTTTCCAGGATATGGAAGACAATACTCCTCTCCAACTACCCTCTAAAGGGAAGAACAGGATGATGATGGGTCCTTACCTTAACCCTTTCCAAGAGCCTGCAGGGTTGTTCAGTGGATTTTATTCTACAAGGTCACCAGTGCAAGGAACTCTGGCTCCCCCTTTCCCCTTTTAGTTCTGCACATAGATTATTCATTTTTAAAGCATAGTTCACCGAGACTCAGGGCCCTTCCAGGTGGCCTGTATGTTGTGAAGGACAGAGAGAAGGGCAAGTTAAAAGGAAAAAAGCATTGCAAACTCAAGTCTGTGGAACTCTCTTCCACTGGAGGCAGTGAGGACCAGCAGCTTAGTTGGCTTTCAAAGAAGATTGGACTAAGAAATAGGGAAATCGAAAAGAACATTGTTCATGTACGGAATAACGGCGGCCAGAATTTTAGTAGCAAGAAATTGGAAAAACACAACAATACCCAACACGGAAGATTGGTAAATCCTAATCGTAGAATATCTGCAGCTAGCGAAAGCGACAGGAATAGTAAGAGGCCAACCAAAACAAAAAGTCTATAAGGATTGGAGAATCTTTAAAGAATATTTAGAAAACCATGGAATAAAAGGAAACATCTTGGCAGAATTAGACTGATCCCTGTATTGTTTAAATGTAAGTTTGTAGGGAGGTAAAAAGAAATTATATAAGAAAAATGTAACTGTGCGGTATAAAGTAATGGATAGACAAAGTACAGTGAGATTCATTGGAAGTAGGTTTTAAATTTCTTTTCTATAATTTTTATAATTGTGTGCAATACCAGGAGTATATATGATGATAATTATATTAATCTTCTTATATCTTATAATGTGGTGGTTTGTTTGATTTTTCTGTTACCGTATTTTTCACTCTATAGGACACACTTTTTCCCCTCCAAAAATGAAGGGGAAATGCGTGTGCATCCTATGGAGCGAATGCAGGCTTTCGCTGAAGCCTGGAGAGCGAGAGGGGTTGGTGCGCACCGACCCCTCTCACTCTCCAGGCTTCAGGCAGCTATCCGCAAGCCTTCGGAGCGCGGCGGGAGTTGCGGATAGCAGCCTGTTCTGGGGGCTGGGGTCGGGCTTTCCCCGTCCCCAGCCCCGCAAGCTCTGGGAGCGGCGGCGAGGTTGGGCGCAATCTTGCCGCCGCTCCTGGACCTGTTTTGGGGGCTGGGGTCGGGGGAAGCTCAGGCTTCCCCCGTCCCCAGCCCCATGGCTAAAAACAAAGCCACGTGCAGCTTCTCCCGGATGGACCAGAGCACGCCAGGCACTCCTGTCTTCCACTGCCTCCCGCAGTTTGGTCAAACTCATGCTGGTAGCTTCGAGAACACTGTCCACCCATCTCGTCCTCTGTCGTCCCCTTCTCCTTGTGCCCTCCATCTTTCCCAACATCAGGGTCTTTTCCAGGGAGTCTTCTCTTCTCATGAGGTGGCCAAAGTCTTGGAGCCTCAGCTTCACGATCTGTCCTTCCAGTGAGCACTCAGGGCTGATTTCCTTAAGAATGGATCCGTTTGATCTTCTTGCAGTCCATGGGACTCTCAAGAGTGGTATCATAGTGCCTGAAATGTACGGTGTGAATGTGACCCTAATTTTCCCGGGACGTGCATGAGTTGGGCTCTGGAAATGTGGCACAACCTATTTTTAACAGCCACCACCTGGCCCTGGGGTGAATTGGCTCCACTCCTAAGCAGCTCTGCAAAGTCCTGTTTTCATGGAGACAGAGGGAACCTGCACGACACTCAGAGGCTCAGGATGAAACGAAGGAGAGGAACTGAGTGCGGAACAAATGGAAAAATACACACACACAAAAAAAGGACTAGATATCCCTAATCCCAGAGATGTGACAGAAGAAAGCCAGAGGGCTGAACACACACACCTATGTCCTGATCCGTGCTGGATTTCTTGGCTGGCGAATTGCAGAAAGGACAGAGTTGCAGCCTCAGAGCTCAGCTCTTAATCCTGGCACACTGGAGGTGGCAGAAAGAACAGAAACTGGGGGATTTTCACAGGGCCTTTAACCTTCTCCTGTATCCTTTAAGATTTGACTGCTTCAGTTCTCCTTCCTCCCAGGATGCTTGGCGCAACCTTAATCTTTGATGCGTCTAGCCCAGCCATCCCCAACCACATGCGCTCCCAAGGGCTGCTGGGAGTTGTAGTCCAAGGTGTTATGTCTTCAGTGTTCTGTGTTTGCCTGAACTTGAGTCTGGACTAAGGAATATGAGCTCCTGTGTTCCGATTTGATACACGATGTCCAATCATAGAACATTTCAGGATTTGGGCCTCTGCCATTGGCCCTTGGACTCTGAGTTGTGATTTGCAGCTTGGAAGTTTAGACAGCCAATCACAGTGGGAGTGGGAGTGGTCCAGGTTTTCAGAAACGTATATAAGCAGTTGCTTTGCCCCTGTTTCCCAGTTATGTAGTTCAATAAAGGTTCTTACTGTTATCACTGTGTCTTGCCTCGTGGGAACCCACCTACCCGTCACAAAACATCTGCAGGAGGCCAGGTGAAGAAAATAAGAATCACAGCAGCCAACCAGATGCCTGTGGAAAGACTTGCAAGCAGATTCCAGCATGAGTGTTGCTGGGGCAGGCTGCCTTATACTATTCCTATCAATCTAGATGATCATGGGGTATTTGGGGTGCTAGAAGAGGGGTAGCACCTCTGGTGGGAGACTCGTCAGGCTCCTTCTGGGGTAGTTAGTCCACTTTTGGCCTCAACACTGCACTCAGCTCCCACCTGTGGCTCCCAGAAGCTGTCAGTTAGGTCAGCAGCCACACTCTGGGAAGGGTTTCAACTCGCTGGCTAAATCCTCAGTGACTTAAGGTCTTCCTCTGCATGCGAAAACAGGCTCTGACGGACTGTGTGGGCAAGATCAACAGTGGGTCCTGCAGTCAAGAAGACGGTTTCTGCATGTGCTGTAGAGGGAAGTGAGGGGCAAGTGGGGCTCGTCAGCCTGGGAAGGAGAAGATGGTGTTGGGATGCGTCCAAGGGAACGGGGGCAATTCGCAAGCCCCCAGCTGGCTCCAGCCACAGACCAGCAGCCGGGCAAGCTCCGGTCCTTGTCTCAGCATCAAACAGCGACTCATAGCTTCAGAAGCTTGAGCACGCTCTAATCAGCAGTGTGAATAACATGCAACAGAAGTGGCAGATAGAGGCTGTGTAAAGCGTATTTACGGCATTTTATTCAGCATCAGGACGAAGGGAAAAACATGTCTTCTCCCCTTCGTGTCCAAACAAGCAGCATAAGCAAAAGCTATACACAACGGAAGTTCCCAACAAGCTGTGCTGGAATGTAAACAGACATGTGACATACAACAATCCACAGGTCTGTTCCGCTTAAGGTGGAACAGAACATCAATATCCTAACAGATGGGCCACCTCTTGCCTTCAGCATTGGTCATCACTGTTGTGGCACCCCCTGTGGCGCCCTCTCGGCTCAGCGCCCCGTGTGGGCAAACCGGTCGCACTCCCCATAACCCACCTCTACACACTGCCCAGGCTTGCACCCCAGGGAGGGGTCTGACCCCTGGAGGCACACTCCATTGTCTCTCAAGACCGGCAGATGTCAACAACAACAGATGATAGTGCACAGGCCTTTGATTTTGTCCAGCTAATGTGCTGGTCCCGGGGAAGGTTACTGTGGGGCGAGGTCCAGGACCTGGGTCGAGGGTCTGTAGACTGTCCTCCACAGGCGAGGCGGGGTCCGAAGCGAGGAGCCGGGCAAGGACGGGAACTCTGGAGGAACAGGTCTGGGTGCTGGCCGAAACAACTCTTCAACGACGTTGCTCCCGCAACCTGGGACCGGGCTGACTGGCCTTTATCTTCTCTGAGGCCAGGGGCGGCCCCGGCCCCCAGGTGACCCGCCTCTTCTGGCCTTAAGGCGAGCACTCCTCCTGGGAGAAACCAGTTCCCTCCGCCTCTCTGCCCTCAGCCTCTGCAGCTCAGGAGAGGCTGGAGGGTTACTGGACCCAGGGGGAGACTCGCCTTTCCCTGACAGGGCTGGGAGAGGCGCACCTGTAGGCAATGTGTCCTCAATCCCCTCTGGAGCCAGAGTAGATTCACCTGGTGCCTGCTCCTGAGGATCCGGCACAGGTGCAGGTGCCTCAGAGTCAAGGCCCTGCCCCAGCTCAGCCGGCCCTGGAGGCGGGGACTCCTGTGCCAGGCTGGAGTTCCTCCAATTCGACTTCTGAATCGGATTCCCAGGCCATCACAGCTAACCTCATGAGTTTTCCTTACTGGGTGAAAATATCTGGAAACGGTCCTGCAAGTGGTACGAAATTGTATGCAACACATTTAATCCGGGCAGAGAGAGAGAGAGAGTCAGAGGGAATGCTGGAGAATTTTTAGCTGCATTTGGCAGTTTGGAGTTTGGAGTATGCTTGCTTCCACTGTGCCCATTTGTAAATGAACAAATAAACAGATAGAGTCTCCAGCTCTCCTGCTCTCATCCCTGACATGCTAGTTTTTTGGGTGCAGGGATTTTTCCATATCAGAAGGATTCAAAATAAGCAACTCCAGCCCAGAGCCCAAGCTGCAGACCATGAAGGGTTGTGACTTCCCTCCTTCTCTGGTTACCACTGCCCATAGCTCACCACTGCCCATAGCTGCCAACTTTTCCCTTTTCTTGCGAGGAATCCTATTCAGAATAAGGGGATTTCCCTTTAAAAAAGGGAAACGTTGACAGCTATGCCACTGCCCCATTTGTCAAGCAGCCTCGTTACAGCTTCTCAAGGAAGAGACTTTTGGACTTTGGAGATCTCGTCCACACTAATAGAAATTTAATAAATAATAAATAATGATTTTCCTCTGCGCTTTCCAGAGCTCCAGCATATTCGTGGATTATTCCTGAGTTGGGGCATCTCCAGACTGCCAGTATTCTGCGGGGACAGGATTCTAGAACTGGGCGATTTAGATTTGTGCAATTTAAGTGGATTGAAGTCATCCTGGTACAACAAATCAGCAGTAAAAAAAACCACTCCAGACTTTTTCTTTTGCAGTTTGGAAAGTGATGCGGAAATGCATTGAAAAGGGTGGGATAAAGAAGTGATTGCTGGGAAGACATGTGAACACCTTGCAGGCAAATCAAGACGAATGCAGGATGAACACTGCTCTGTGCTGTGCAACCTCCCCGAAAACAAATCAGAACTTCTGCTCAGTCAAGACCTGATGCAATCTCACCTCCACGTAAGCTCTGTGCAAGCAAATCAAGATGAAGGCTCAATAGGCAGGTTATCCGAAGGAGATCTCATTTGGTTCTGATTCAGGGAAGTTTTTAATGTGTGACATTTTAGTGTATTTTTGGTCTCTGTGGAAGCCGCGCAGAGTGGCTGGGGAAACCCAGCCAGATGGGCGGGGTACAAATAATTAATAATAATAATAATAATTCCTACTTTGGCTCTGCCTTGCTCAGTGGCTTTCTCATGGAGGAGAGCAGGGGTCGGTAACCTAAGGCCCATGGACCACAAGCAGCCCATGGGGATCGTTTAACCAGCCCATGGGCCCCTGTCGCCCGCTTGGGGACCTCTACCACCCGCTAAACCGGCGCAGAGCAGAGCAGGGACCGCCTTCCACAACTCTGGCCAGCTTCCCATTGGCTGCA